CTACTTGATTCCTTTACTTTTTTTGGTTTTATGTTCATTTTATTCTCTTTGACTCTTTATTTATGCACTTATTTACATCTATATTCGCCATTTCTTCTACTATTATCACAGTTGGCCTTGTCTTCATGGTTTTACCCTCTACTTTCCTTTATTCCACTTGTTCTTTCCCTTCCTTGGTTTTACTATTTCATCTGGTGCAGTTGCAGTAATTTATTTTGAAAATCTTTTCCCATGTCTGGACTGACTGATGTTCAATGTTCTTCCTGAGTTTCCTTCTTTTCTTTTTGCCCTGTTTGCAAAGACCTTTCCAAACTTATTGTTATTACGCTGCCATCCTCACATCATGACGGACTCATACGAGGACGTACGCCTGATAAAACGTCCCCTCACCATAAATCACAACAGCATCAAGCGCTCCCTCCGCAGGCTTCCCTCTTGCTACTGTCCAAACACAGACTTCCAGCGTGTCACTACCACCACAACGAGTGGAAGGGGGCTCGTCGCGCCGCTGTCTTTCATAAAAAACCGTCGTGCACACAAAGTGCTGGCTAATCTGATCTGCCTGCGCCAGTATTTTCAAAAAGCAGCCAGTCAGTCCATCAGCCAAACAATGAGAGAGGCCACAAGATAACAAGATAAGCCCGGGCTAGCCTGGAGAGGTGGTCCCGAGGAGGGGGGCGGGGAGGCCGGCCCATGACGAGCCGCCACGCTGCAGGCCGGCCTAACGAAGCTGACTTTATAGCAGCACCGGGCTTAAGCTGACCTCTTTAAACGGGATTTTTAAATCAATTACAAGGAAAATAATACTGGAGTGTGCTGAAGGTGCCAGCATTGATTGGCTGGCCTTGTTTTTTCTTCTTCTTTGCACACGGAAAGAGAAGGCTGGACAAATGATTGCTTCAGTGGGACACCATCAGCATGCAAAGCCAAGTCGAGCACACATCTGTTGCTTTTCCGGTGAAACATGGCAGAGGACAACGCTCCTCCATCTTGCGTAAAGGACGAGCCTTTACCGAGCGCTCTGATTGGATGGGGGGGTGGATTGGTTGACCTCCTTCGGCGCCCCGGCTGCACACACGCCGGCCGGCCCGTTGTCCAAGCCTTTGTCGGCGGGTCGACTTCGCGCCGCCGCACTAAGGAGCTTAACTGTAACACAATGTGCGACAATTAGGAGCGGTGATACAGTAAAGCGGCGCTAGCGTTGACCTACGAAGCCCAGAGCAGGGGCGTGTGACACCGTTTTTTTTTGGTGAAGATGGGAACAAATAAGCGTATTTGCAGCTTCACAGAGGCGGCAGCGCATTGGATCACATGACACCGTGATGTGCTCCATCTTCTGGGCTCGTTAGAAAATCAGTAAATTCAGAAATAAGAATTTTTTGCAGCATAGAATATGGATATTTGTGATATTTGAGCTTGATATTGTCGGTAGTTTCAGACGTTTTTTTAAGGATATTTTTCGTACGTTGAAGTTTGAAGATCTGTTTCAATGACGATATCGGAGGAACTATTAAAGATTATTTCTGAATCTGAATTAAGAGCATTTTAAAGATTGTGTCGCACAACTTGCCACACCTGCAAAAAAAACGTACTTCATTTTCGTGATGGAGCATCTCATGCTTAAAACTATTCTGAAGGTTTTGTTTTATTGTGAAATGCAGCTACATGTGGCTCCAAAACTATCACCAGCTGACTTTTACTTTATCAGGTTTTATTTTGTTAACGTCCTCAAAGACGGGAGTTTTCATGGCGGCGGCTTCATTTCTTTTTATAGATTTCAAATCTCTCACTATTAGAGAACATTTCCTCTACTTGTTTAATATCGTACATCCTGAATCAACGACATGATGAGAAACAACAGGGAAAAATTCAGGCTTTTATGTTTGTTTGTTCTTTAGATATCGTCGTTTAAACAGGCAGATATCACTCTGACTATCTGTAGTTTATGATAAAAAACGAAAGTTTCAAGCAAATCAGAGCCCGTCGAGCAGAAGGCTGAGGTGAAACGACGATATTCCAACGTTATGATTCCTCTAAACTTGCATTTAACGTCATTTCCAAAGACTTGAAACAGAAGTAAAGGTCTGCAGGGTCGAGGACGGCGGAGGTGGCGACCTGAGCCAGTGGGCGGGCGCCCTTGTTGTGAGATTAACCAGCAGCTAAGCACTCATTAGGTAAACAGAGGTATTAGGCACCAATCAGGGCCGAATGAAGAAGAAAAACTTCCTCCCAACATCTGCTTGGGTCCAAGATGAATGACCCTGAAGCGCGATTATATGATTTTATAACGTCTGAGCTTTGTGTAGACGTTTGGATCGAACCAGTGGAACATCTCGTCCCAGGAGGAAATGCTGATGCCGATTTTTGAGAGATGCGGCGCTTAAACGTGAAAAGAATCCGTCTTTCTTCGTGACAAACCAGCAGAGCATCAGCAGCTGGCGTTTCATCTCATTAACGTGGTTGAAAGTTTGCTGTTTTTGTATGTTCTCACGGTGAACATACGGCAGTGGCGCGTTTAGTTTAGGTGTTGGTGGAACGAAAGCAAGAAATGTGCCACCAGTGTGAACAGCTTGCGTCCATTGCACACAACACGCTAGATGTTAGTGAATGAAGGTCAAAGTAGAATTTTCTGGCAGACACATGAACCAGAAAACTCCACTTTTCCATCTTTTATGTTCCACCTCCGACTGCTTCGTTTGCTGTCACCGCCTCAACAACAAAGGCCTCCATCCTCCTTAGTCCCCATTCACTGTAGAGCATTTATAATTGTGCTAACTGGATTGAGAGATTACCGCAGATTACTTTTGATGAGGCTGCTGATAAAACAATAGCTCGAACAGACCTCGTGGAGCCCAGATGTGACAGCTCTGTTGATAATATTATATATATATGTGTCGGCCCACGGATAAACAAAATAAAAAATCCATACAACCTCTGATCTGTCCGGTGATTGAAAAGCAACTGCTGCTTTCTGCCTGGGAGCTTTTTTTTAAAAATTTTCCCCCCAGAAAATAAGAAAAACAACGTTATCTGTTTCGGTGTTGCCAGCAGCAAAATAAACTTTTCATATCAGCAAAGAAAAAGCAATAAAAGTAGTTATGCAATGAGATGAAAGGCGCTAGCGGCGGAGAAGCCGCACCAGAACAGGACTTTTCACGATATTTATAGCGCGTATACGTCGCTAACCTGCTGACTCTAGCCGCCTGCCTTTCCGATGCAACGCGCAACGGGGACATCCCAATATCATAATGCATGAAATAATCTCAGGGAAGCCCATTTTAATCAAGCGTTCAGCTCAAGGACGCAGCGACGAGCCGTTGTCCTGGCCATGCAGGACTTCACACCTGCTGATGGAGGATTAAGGAATGATTAACTCGGAGGAAAGCTACTGGGCCGGAGTCGCAAAGATGCCCGAAACGGACCTTCGGCCATGTTTTTGGGCGGCGTTTTTTTATGTCACATCCTTCCACTCACTCACTCACACAAGCCTGCTGATATCAATTAATTCTCAAAATAACACTCTTGAAATACACGCGTCCCCAAAGTGTCAAAGCTTGATTAAAAAAAAAAAAAAAAAGGCTGTTTAGATGATTATATTCTAATAATATTTGTTCCTTTGCAGTCCTACTAACCCTGCAGACTCAGGAAAAGAGGCAAACCAACAACTAACACCGGCTCGTGTATTTGACAGCCGGGGTTTTGTGCAAAATGCAAAAAAAAAAAAAAGAAGCTAAATCTGCTTTCAGCGACTGGGAGATGAGACACGATGTCGGGGTTTAAATCGACTCATCTGTCTTTGCGCTATTTTTTTTTCCCCTTCCGTCAAAAGTATTTTCTTTTTTTCACACACACACACTGTCTTGGCCAAAGTACCCAGAATCCACTGCAGTTCAAGGTCACCTGAGTCTTCTCTGGCACTCAGCCGGTGCACCTCAGCTCTCACTCTTTTTTTTTTCTTGCACGGCGCAGAGGTGCAGAGCAGTTTTTTCCTTTTAGAAGATGTTAATTTTAGCCTTTTTGGTTCGAACCGCCGACACGGGCTTCCTTTTCCTCAAACACTGCGCGACCTGCCGTTTAAATATCCTTTAGGTACTTAGGATAAATCCCGATTTAATGAAAGCTTTACAATACAACTTTGGCAAAAAAAAAAAAAATTTCATTACCATCTCATGTCACAAAGAAATCTAAATCCGTCCAGATAATCTCTACACCGGTATCAAATTGCACTGCAGTGTCTTTCGTCCTCAAGTGTCATTGAGGGAGTGAACGTTAGGTGAAGTGATTTAGTTTGTCTTTGGTCCGTGGAGTTTTTTTTTTTGAAATATCGCATGTAAAGAACTTCCACTTGGAGCAAATCAGAGAGAGAGAGAGAGAGGATAAACACAATCCTGGAGTCGGTTACTGTATGAGCTTTACCTCATCATGGCTGTATGGAGTTAACGCATGGATATAAATACAGTACTTATGTGGGAGAAAGAAGAAAAAAAAAGTAGCTCCTGAGATTTTCCAAGGGATTTGATTGTCAGACTGGGACACAATTTGTAGAGCTTAACCCAGAATTACACATTTGACTCTGTTTTATTAATCCCACAGTGGAATACTGTACGCCAAGCCCCGCACAGCAGCGTCAAGTGAATCATATTAAAGCACAATGGTTGAAAATAGCCCGCACTTAACACCCACCGAGTCGTTCTGAAGTGAAGAGCTCGTGCGACATGTATATACGGTATGTTTGCTCTCTGAAACATACTGAATGGTCCAAGAGTGCAGCACATCCTGGAGGTGATGAGAACCAAAAAATGTGCGGCGCTGGTTGTGGTTTGGCTGGAGCTACCATCGAAGCCAGTCTGACTTTGGTTGAATAACAAACCAGCAGCATGAAATGTTAAAAAGGGATGAGTGTGCCCACGCCAGAGGAGATGCTGAAGGTCATTTCTAGCCAAAACAAAAGAAGCTACAATTCATTTCTTTTCTCATTTTCAACCACACTTTCAACTCACCTTGGGCTGTACCTCTACTTCTACCACTTGGTTCTTGCTCATGCAATCTTTGACGAAGCCCTCCACCGAGCTGTTGAACTTCATGAAGATCACGTAGGCGGCGTAGGCGGACAGCAGCGTGACACTTTCCCACACGGAGATGAAGTTATCCAGGAAGAAGATGATGAGCATGATCAGATCCATGATGTAGAAGGACACGTCGCGGAACAGCGGCCACCACGTCAGGTTGAGGATCTCCTTGGAGAAGATGGCGCACATCCCGATGACGAAGAGGATGTTGAAGACGGCCGAGCCCACGATGGTGCCGATGCCCACGTTGCTGTGGGAGATGAAGACGCCGATGATGGAGGTGAAGAGCTCCGGGGCCGAGCCGCCCGCCGCCATGAAGGTGGCGCCCGCCACGTCGTCGGAGATGGTCAGCTTCTCCGTGATGACCGTCAGCGCCGGGACGAAGAACTCGTCGCACACGATGGCTAAGGCGATGAACATGTAGATCATGCCGAACATGTGGAGGACCACCGCCCCTTGGCGCCTCTGGGTGAGGGTGAAAATGTCTGGCGGGTACTCCCCCTGGCTCTCGTTGCCATCCGCTGTAGACTTCATGGCTATGGGCATGTCGGCGGACACGTTGGGGTCGCTCTGGTGTTGGGTGAAGAGTAGGGTCCTGTGGGGGGCCGACTGGTGCTCCTCGGGGAGCGCCGGCTCGCCGAAACCCCCCGAGCTCCAGGTCAAGGCACTGAAAGAGACAGCACTTAAGGCCACCAAGCTGAAGACTAACCCTAAGATTCGCACGGGCCTCAGCTTTTTCCGGAGACACCGACGGCCCCGCTGCTTGCAGCCGGGACCCAGCGTGGGCCTTCGCTCTAGAGAATCCATGCAGGGCTGATCTGAACCCATGTCGGCGACGCTCGTGGTGTCCTCACTCTCAACGGGTCGGTGCAGTAAGAGGGGAGGGGAGGGACGGGGGTGGCAGGTTTTACCGGAGGCAACGCATGGTGTTGTCTTCAGGTTCAAATGCGTTATGAAGACTGTAGGTGCTTTCCAGGGTCTGGTTTGCCAAATGATGTCTTCATATTAGCCTCTATGAGACAACGCAGGAAGAGAGAATTAATCACCGAGCAGAAAAACAACCACCTTTACATACATATGCATTTAGAAAAAAAATAAATAGCAAACAGCTGCCATGCGTGAGCGACTTGGCTACAATCCGGCAAACAAGCATGTCAATATTTACCAAACGTATGCAGGTGATTCGGCTTTAAATGCATATCACTGCATCATTCTGAGCAGCCTCTCAACATCACCCCACTGTTCTCTCATTTTAAGCTGAAAAGAAAGCCAACAACCCAGAGCAAACGCACATTATGGAGGCTTAGAATCAAGAATCTGCATCATGGTAAGTTCATTTACATGCAGGTTAATGGTACAGTGGAGCTCATGTCATCAGCTCCTCACTATCCAGTCCAAATAAACAGTAGTGGCACAATCAAGACCACAGACAGAACTTATCGCAACATGCATCTGATCCGAGCTGTTTTTCCCCCAATTTGGGACAACTCCAAAAGACAAAAACCTGAGATGAGGAGCTGGGTTTTTTTTGTTTTTTTTTACCTGCGGAAATATCACGAAAGGCCGACGGTGAACGGACACCACTTGGCTGCAGCGCAAACCGCTATGACGCCGCTGATGCTCGGTGCTGCTGCTGCTGCTCAGGTGGAAGCAGGTTTCAAACGCATCCCGTCCTGTTTGACTTTTCACTGACGCTGCCTCGAAGCAGAGATGCTCCGCTGACAACTCTTTCCCCCCCCACCTTCCTCCTCCTCCTCCTCCTCCTCCTCCTCTTCCTCCTCCTCCTCTGCTGTCTGCCCTTCAATAATGCATTCGCCCTTTCGGCTGTATCATCACACAAGCAAACAGCTCCCCATCATCCCCGAACAGAACACACACAAAAAATAAAACAACAAGAAAAAAAAAGCAGCCCAACATTTAGTTTCCAGCGGCGAGGCGCATGACGCGTGGAGAGGCTGCGGACCGAGTCATGCCTTACCTTAGACAGAGGCGAGGAAACAGCAGCAAGCAGCGTTGGAAATTAAGGAAATCCTCTCTCCGGTGCCCTCTTGCTCTCATTGAGCACAAAAAAAAAAAAAAAAACCCTTCTTTGTCTCAGTTGTTTTGAAACACTGAATAATGGGCAGTGGTTAAAAACAAAAAAAAAAAAAAAAAATGTGACCGGCGACAGAGGAGGAGCTTTGGAGAGGGAGGAAAAAAAAAAATGCGCTCCTCACCTCTGGTCCCTCACAGCAGCAGCAGCAGCAGCAGCATCCCTCCCGTGTCGGAATAAAACTAGGAGAGAAAAAAAAAAAATCCCCCAGATGAGCCAAATACCTCCGTAATGTCACAGAACGCTGTGCTGTGGGCTGGGCCGACCACGTGAAGCGGCCGCTTTTATTAATAAAGCCAGGTAAGCGGCAGACGGCGCATCCCTCCCCTCCCGGTTCCCGCGGTGGGGGCTTCGGTGATGCTTCATGTGGAGGGAGGAGTTGCCGTGGTTACACAGCAAAGGCAGCATTTCCACACATTTTCTACCTTTGTTTTTTTTTCTTTTCTTTTCTCCTTTCTCTCCTCCTCCTCCCACCCTTTTTTTTTTTTTTAATTCTCTGATGATGGAACAGGTGGACGCGCTTCAGCTCAGCGCCTCATTTACGTCTTTGGGTCATTTCAAGGTTACGCGCAAAGTGCTCGATCCGGTTTGTAGGAAAACAGCGCAGAAAATAGTGTGCAGCTGCGTTGAGTTGTCACGTGCGGCTTTACGCTTAGCATAGACTGTAAACAAACAAACAAACAAACAAACGGTCATTGATTGGATTTTTTTTTCTAACAATTACCTGTTATTTTATCTATTTCCACAAGAAGGTATTACAGATCATATCTAGTAAAATCACAGAAAAAAACTCCTATAGGCATTTTTAAAAAAATAAAAAAATGTAAATAACACCCACATCAAAAATCTATGTTTTACAAATTGCAAATCATTCCTTAAATTATTAAAAATAAATTAAAGAGCTGTTATGTAAAGTAGTTTTGCTAAATTACAGATAATATCTAATAAAAAAAAAAATCACAGATAAAAGGTCTTTTTATGGGATAAAAAACAGCAAACTAAAAAAAAAATTAGCACAACAAAAATGTAAACAATGCCCACATCAAACATCTGTATTTTTACAAATCGTAAATCATTCCTTTAAATTAATTTTTTTTTTTAAATAAATAAAGTTATGTTGGGTAGTTTTGTTAAATTATATATATATATATATATTAAATTAATCATAATTTAATTTATTTTAACTGCAAAAAAAACAGGGTATAAGTGGAAATAATGTCCGTATCAAATATCTGTAATTTTACAAATTTTAATTTATTCTTTTACCATTTTTTTTTACAGCAAAATTACACAATTGTTACAGCATTTAAATCAGCAAAAATATAATTATTTTATATTTGGCATCTATTAGAAAAGAAACTATATAATTCTGTATTGCCATGCCATGCTGCCATATTGTCTTCATGCTAAAATCAAATGTTCCCATACAAATACTTGAAATAAACACTGAATAAAACTAAATGTGAGATGGTGGATCAACACCGCTTTGACACAGGCTGACCCATGAAAGAAGCTGCAACCAGCAGCTGGTGTTAGCCTAGCTTAGCATAAGCACTAGAAACTGTCAGAGAGAACTGCTTAGGTTCTGTTAGCTTCATCAGACTGTGAACTTCATTGCATTGGAAGAACAGTCAGCATCTCCACATCTGGACTGATGGTGAGTTTCATGTGAGGGACTTTGAGCATCTTGGTATCTTGTTTATGAATGACAGAAAATGGAGCGCCAGATGGGCAGATGGATTGGAGCAGCATCAGCAGCAAAGCAGATGTTGGACTGGACTTTCAGAGGGCAAAGCATTTGATTTACCAGTCGATCCATGTTCCAACCTTCACCTGTGGTCATGAGCTCTGGGTAACGACTGCAGCAATGAGGATACAAGAAACCAAAGTGGGTTTCTGTGTAGGTGTGGCTACGCTCTGTGTTTGGAGTAGAGTCGCTGTTCCTTCGTGTTGAAAGGTGCCAGCTGAGGAGGTTTGATTAGGATGCATCCTGAACGCTTTCTGTGGGATGTTTCGAGGATAATCCAACTAGGAGAGGACCCAGAGGTAGACCCAAAACTCACTGAAGGGATCACATATCTTACCTGGCCTTAAGAAGCGACAGGAGGAACTGGAAAGAGGGAATGGATTACTTAATCTGCTGCCACTCTGACCGCAGAAAAGCAGAAGAGAATCGATGGATGGATGAAATTCGTGGGTTAACACATGGGTACGTCTGGGACTGTAGGTCTCCAGTTCACCCTCACCCTAACCCATCAAGGCAGACAACCAGCCTCCCTGAACCTGGTTCTGCTGGAGGTTTCTTAGTGGTATAATGGACTTTTTTTTCTTCCCGCTTGCTCAGAGGGAATCATTTGGATTAGTTGGATCTCTCTCTGTAACTCCTTAACGTCTTCACCTTGAGAGGTGCCTTGAGACCGGTGCACTTTAGAGCTGCTGATAGGGCTGTCTCTAGCTTCATGTTTGCTTCCCAGACACGATACTATTGATCCTCTCTTCGAGGAAGTTTGTCGAGAAAGCAAGCAGGTGCATTTCCATAAATGTTAAAACTTTGATCTGGTTCTTCGCACTTTTTTGGTATTTTAAAGCACAAATGTGGAAGAAGACCACACGTGTGCCAGTTTTGCTTCATGTCCGCCCATACCAAACCCTTCATCTGACATAACCATCATCTCTACAGTCCCCTGGGTTGCTCCCTCTGATGTCAAATAAACTCCCCTCCCAACCACTTAGCATTAGGCGACGGGCCAAGCCCTGTTGGATAGACATAGACATGCCATCTTTACACAGTGTGACAAAGTATGTGTGACACTAATGGCCTGGTGCTGTAATAAATCATTATTCACTGACCTCATTGATTGCCCCCATCTCCTCTCCTCTCTTCTGCACTGTAGCTGCTTCTTGTTACCTAACAGGAAACACAGGAGCCGAAAGCATTAACTTGAGTTACGTCACTTCGTCGATGGCACGGTGTTTTGGGACTGCTATCTGTGGAGGGGAGGGAGGGGTTTCTTGCTAAATTAGCTGATCTGGTAACTCTCTCAATGTCCTCGGACGTAATTAAACACGTCTTTGAATGATATATACACGCCTCAGAGATCAGACTGTCATCATTCTTTCCATCTAAGACGGCATAAAAGCACATTTCCCAAAGAAAAAGTTCAGAAAATGTCCAATCTTTCCCTTCGCCCGCCGTTCTGAAATGAAGTTCTGGAAGTGAAACGCGGTCAAGCTCCAAAGCCCAGAAGACCAAATCATTCACTCGCTAAGTGACTGAGTCTGATCGATCCACCGCATCCATAAAGCATTGTTTTGTCTTTCACACCACCGCCACTGGGCTTCCTCACCAACCAGTCCAAACCAGTCCGGCAGATTTCCAGTGGCCGCCCCCGTCAAGCGGATTAAAATGTGGCTTTGATTCGTGAATGAACATGTAAGTAAGCTGCATCATCGATCGGGTGGCTGGGGATAATAAGACGGGGCTGTCACTGAACCATCTGTCAATTTGGAGAACTGATTTTTACAAATGAAGCTCAGTTGATTTGTCAGCAGTCATGAGGTCTTCTGTGACTTTGGAAGGAGTTCATCAAAGTTTGAAACACAGAATGATAAACTCAGAGTGTGACGTTTGGCAGGAAAGACAATCAGACTTTTTAAGTTGCACCGACTCTAGTATAAGACACTTTATCCATATATGTGCAATACTTTAACCAACCAAGTGCAAAATTACA